CACAGTGGAAGCTTTTTCTGTACTTGTTGGACGTGCCGCTGACCCACTAGGAGGGGACACAGTGGAAGCTTTTTCTGTACTTGTTGGACGTGCCGCTGACCCACTAGGGGGGGGGACACAGTGGAGGCTTTTTCTATACTTGATGAGAATTTCCTTTCATGAAAAAATGGTTCCCCAAGCATATATTCTGTGTACTATATTTAGAGACGTTAGAGTAATAAAATGTTATATCGTATACTGTATATTTTAAAAGCAACTTTAATAACATCAAATTATTAAACTCATAGACACGAGATTTTGTGGTCTAAGTGTAGCTAAACCAAGATTTCTTGAGTTACGGTTGATTAGGAGTTTTCTCGTCGTTGGTTGTGTTGCAGGAGGATGGTTTCTTTCCCTACGAAAACAACAAAAGCAAAATGTGTCAATATTCAGAAACCATTAAAAATTTCCGAATGATTATGATTTTAAAACATGCTTGAATTTACAGATTCTTTTATTGTTATTTGTTCAGACGACACAAAAACGTTTTATCAGCTAAATCGAACAACAAAGAAATGTTGTGTTCAAGCTCTTATACATTATTTTTCGTAAAGTCAAAATTTTTTAAAAGAAAGCAGATATTCACCGTGTAAGTGTCGCATATCAATTGAAAAAGGTTACCCTCTGCTTTATCTTGGATGTCTTCTGTATGAACCTAAACACAAACACACAAAGTGGAATAATTAGCTGTTCCATTTTAAACAATTAGGTCCACTCAGTATAGTATATGATGGACTATATACGACGAAGTGAAATATACGCATTTTAGCCGCATAAATGCTTTATTTTGTTGTATGATATTATATCTGATCATCAGAGAAAATGTGAACGTGAAGATACATTACGAAGATACGTAATAGCGAATATATCAATTCATCGTTATTTATCAATTTATACTATATATTTTTAAATTTCAAATCTAGTTATAAGTTCTCATCAGATGTGTTGTATCTCGAAGGATGTTCGGATGTTATATCACACAAACAATAAAAGTTCAATAACTTCAGTTGTTTAAAGAAATGTTAGTGAAAATATGTGAGCTATTTTCAAGAATAAACTATGGTCTGCGTCCGATATTTGCTGATAACAGTTTGTCAAATAGCTATTGTACTGGAGATTAGGCTCGTCTTTTTATATTCTATGTTCGCCTTTAAACTTTTAACTGCCCCACAAGGCGAGTTAAATGTATCGTTAGCGCTTTGGAAAAGATATGTGCCAGATTTGTGCTTGATTGAACTGGACTTTAAAAGAGAAGAAGAAAATATATTTCTAATCAATTTTGAACATACGACGTGTTTCAACAACCAACCAATTACAGTATATTGCATTGCCGTATTTATTTCTGTTCAAACTATAAACATGTTTGATAGTGCTTAAAAAAAACCCAACTGAAAAACAACTCCTCTACGACGCCCAGTCGTTTTACTATAATCTCTTTACTTAATGGTAAACATCCGAGGAACACGGTTGAGTATCTTGCAGATATATCCCCTATTTTTATAGCACATATACTTATTTCCTCTCTGTATTTTGTAATACACTTTGTCAATATTTCCGAAAATAACAGCCTATTTTACGATTCTTTATTTCTATAGCAATGAACGAGATTGAATATATTTTCGCTTTCTTATTTTCTGAATGCTTGCGCGAAAAACAATTAACTCACTCCGTTCAGGGTGATCCATGGCGAGTACTGGTGAGGAGGGTCCAAATCACGTGTTTCCTTTGCCATCAAGTATTCATACTTGTTCCCTTGAGCTCCATTAGCACAAGTAGAAATAACTTCCCAGTCCAACTGTAAGGATCTAGCACACTGAAGATATAACACAAAAGGTTAATGCTAAGTGAATCTCTTCTTCAAACGAATACACACTTAATATTACCAGCAACAGGAAAATAAACAACACTTCTATTTATTAAACCTGAATTTTCAAGGGTGTTTAAGTACTTCTGGAACTCTTTGCGTGTATGTTAAGTTGATTAAAACTATTGGGTTCCATTTGGACCACTGTCTTAGAGAAAACAGTGTTAATATACAGGGTGATCTGGAAATACTGTGCTTGTGTATCTACTGACTGCATGTAATGACTAACACAGTGGAAAAACAACGAACTATAGAGAATTATTCAAGATAGATGGAAATGAAGTTTTGTTACTGCTTTTTTCGTATGTGTGATATAGTTGTACACCACATTGTGTTTATAATTTTCCTTTAAAGCTTTAGAATAAGAAACGTGTAGCATCACAAGTTGAATCGGTATATTGCTTTTCAGACAAAAATAATCGAATAAATATATTTGATCAAAGTGTTTTACGGTATAAATAACTGTCAGAAACAATACTTTCATATAGAATATATAGTTAATATCTTTCCAAGTGTGAGCGGTATATTCATCTTCTCTAAGTCATTTCCTCATATAAAGTTTCAAACATAGTGTGATCTCTCATAATTATACCCCCCCCC